TCTTTCTCGAATTGCTTTAGGTGTAAGGTGAGGTTGTTTACTTGAGATATTTCTTGTTTCTTAAGGTAGCATTGTATTGCTATAAACTTCCCTCTTAGAACTGCTTTTGCTGCATCCCATAGGTTTTGGGTCATTGTGTTTTCATTGTCATTTGTTTCTAGGTATTTTTTGATTTCCTCTTTGATTACTTCAGTGATCTCTTGGTTACTAAATAGTGTATTGTTTAGCCTCCATGTGTTTGTATTTTTTACAGCTTTTTTCCTGTAATTGATATCTAGTCTCATAACGTTGTGGTCAAAAAGATATCTGATACGATTTCAATTTTCTTAAATTTACCAAGGCTTGATTTGTGACCCAAGATATGATATATCCTGGAGAATGTTCCATGAACACTTGAGAAGAATGTGTATTATGTTGTTTTTGGATGGAATGTCCTATAAATATCAATTAAGTCCATCTCGTTTAATGTATCATTTAAAGCTTGTGTTTCCTTATTTATTTTCATTTTGGAAGATCTGTCCACTTGTGAAAGTGGGGTGTTAAAGTCCCCTACTATGATTGTGTTACTGTCAATTTCCCCTTCCTTGGGTCTTAGTATTTGCCTTATGTATTGAGGTGCTCCTATGTTGGGCACATAAATATTTACAATTGTTGTATCTTCTTCTTGGATTGACCCCTTGATCATTATGTAGTGTCCTTCTTTGTCTCTTATAACAGTCTTTGTTTTAAAGTCTATTTTGTCTGATATGAGAATTGCTACTCCAGCTTTCTTTTGATTTCCATTTGCATGGAATATCTTTTTCCATCCCCTCACTTTCAGTCTGTATGTGTCCCTAGGTCTGAAGTGGGTCTCTTGTAGACAGCATATATATGGGTCTTGTTTTTGGATCCATTCAGCCAGTCTATGTCTTTTGGTTGGAGCATTTAATCCATTTACATTTAAGGTAATCATTGATATGTATGTTCCTATTCCCATTTTCTTAATTGTTTTGGGTTTGTTATTGTAGGTCTTTTCCTTCTCTTGTGTTTCCTGACAAGAGAAGTTCTTTTAGCATTTGTTGTAAAGCTGGTTTGGTGGTGCTGAATTCTCTTAGTTTTTGCTTGTCTGTAAAGGTTTTAATTTCTCCGTCAAATCTGAATGAGATCCTTGCTGGGCAGAATAAGCTTGGTTGTAGGCTTTTCTCCTTCATCACTTTCAGTATGTCCTGCCACTCCCTTCTGACTTGCAGAGTTTCTGCTGAAAGATCAGCTGTTAACCTTATGGGGATGCCCTTGTATGTTATTTTTCCCTTGCTGATTTTAATATTTTGTCTTTGTATTTAATTTTTGAGTTTGATTAATATGTGTCTTGGCCTGTTTCTCCTTGGATTTATCCTGTATGGGACTCTGTGCTTCCTGGACTTGATTAACTATTTCCTTTCCCATATTAGGGAACTTTTCAACTATAATCTCTTCAAATATTTTCTTAGTCCTTTTCTTTTCCTCTTCTTCTTCTGGGACCCCTACACTTTGAATGTTGGTGTGTTTAATGTTGTCACAGAGGTCTCTGAGACTGTCCTCAATTCTTTTCATTCTTTTTTCTTTATTCTGCTCCGCAGTAGTTATTTCCATTATTTTATCTTCCAGGTCACTTATCCATTCTTCTGCCTCAGTTATTCTGCTATTGATTCCTTTGGGAGAATTTTAAATTTCATTTATTGTGTTGTTCATCACTGTTTGTTTGCTCTTAGTTCTTCTAGGTCCTTGTTAAACGTTTCTTGTATTTTCTCCATTCTGTTTCCAAGATTTTGGATCATCTTTACTATCATTATTCTGAATTCTTTTTCAGGTAGACTGCCTATTTCCTCTTCATTTGTTAGGTCTGGTGGGTTTTTGCCTTGCTCATTCATCTGCTGTGTGTTTCTCTGTCTTCTCATTTTGCTTAACTTTCTGTGTTTGGGGTCTCCTTTTCACAGGCTGCAGGTTCGTAGGTCCCGTTGTTTTTGGTGTCTGTCCCCAGTGGCTAAGGCTGGTTCAGTGGGTTGTGTAGGCTTCCTGGGGGAAGGGACTAGTGCCTGTGTTCTGGTGGATGAGGCTGGATCTTGTCTTTCTGGTGGGCAGGTCCACGCCTGGTGGTGTGTTTTGGGGTGTCTGTGGCCTTATTATGATTTTAGGCAGCCTCTCTGCTAATGGGTGGGGCTGTGTTCCTGTCTTGCTAGTTGTTTGGAATAGGGTGTCCAGCACTGTAGCTTGCTGGTCGTTGAGTGGAGCTGGGTCTTGGCGTTGAGATGGAAATCTCTGGGAGATTTTCGCCATTTGATATTACGTGGAGCTGGGAGGTCTCTTGTGGACCAGTGTCCTGAACTTGGCTCTCCCACCTCAGAGGCACAGCCCTGATGCCTGGCTGGATCACCAAGAGCCTGTCATCCACACGGCTCAGAATAAAAGGGAGAAAAAAAGGAAGAAAGAAAGAAGAGAGCAACCAAACCAAAAAACAAATCCACCAATGATAACAAGTGCTAAAAACTATACTAAAAAAACCCAAAAAACAGACAGACAGAACCCTAGGACAAATGGTAAAAGCAACACTATACAGACAAAAACACACACAGAAGCATACACATACACACTCACAAAAAGAGAAAAAGGGAAAAAATATATATATCATGCTCCCAAAGTCGACCTCCTCAATTTGGGGTGATTTGTTGTCTATCCAGGCATTCCACAGATGCAGGGTACCTCAAGTTGATTGTGGAGATTTAATCTACTGCTCCTGAAGCTGCTGGGAGAAATTTCCCTTTCTCTTCTTTGTTCGCACAGCTCCTGGGGTTCAGCTTTGGATGTGGACCTGCCTCTGAGTGTAGGTCGCCTGAGGGCATCTGTTCTTCACTCAGACAGGACGGGGTTAAAGGAGCAGCTGATTCGGGGGCTCTGGCTCACTCAGGCCCGGGGGGAGGGAGGGGTATGGAATGCCCGTTGAGCCCGCAGCGGCAGAGGCCGGCGGGGGCGTTGCACCAGCGTGAGGTGTGCCATTCTTCTGGGGAAGTTGTCGCTGGATCACTGGACCCTGGCATTGGCGGGCTGCACAGGCTCCTGGGAGGGGAGGTGTGGATAGTGACCTGTGCTTGCACACAGGCTTCTTGGTGGCTGCAGCAGCAGCCTTAGTGTCTCATGCTCGTCTCCGGGGTCTCGCACCCGTCTCTGGAGCTCCTTTAAGCAGCGCTCTTAATCCCCTCTCATCGCGCAACAGGAAACAAAGAGGCAAGAAAAAGTCTCTCGTCTCTTCAGAAGCTCCAGACTTTTTCCCGGAGTCCCTCCTGGCTAGCCGCGGTGCACTAGGCCCCTTCAAGCTGTGTTCATGCAGCCAACCCCAGTCCTCGCCCTGGGATCTGACCTCCAAAGCCGGAGCCTCAGCTCCCAGCCCCCGCCCGTCCCGGCGGGTGAGCAGACAAGCCTCTCGGGCTGGTGAGTGCTGGTCGGCACCGATCCTCTGTTTGGGAATCTCTCTGCTTTGCCCGCTGCACCCCTGTTGCTGCGCTCTTCTCCGTGGCTCCAAAGCTACCCGCCTCCGCCACCCACAGTCTCTGCCCGCGAAGGGGCTTCCTAGTGTGTGGAGACCTTTCCTCCTTCACAGCTCCCTCCCACTGGTGCAGGTCTCATCCCTATTCTTTTGTCTCTGTTTTTTCTTTTTTCTTTTGCCCTACCCAGGTACGTGGGGAGTTTCTGGCCTTTTGGGAGGTCTGAGGTCTTCTGCCAGCATTCAGTGGGTGTTCTGTAGGAGTTGTTCCACATGTAGGTGTATTTCTGATGTATTTGTGGGGAGGTGATCTCCACGTTTTACTCTTCCGCCATCTTGAAGCTCCTCCGCTGATGTTGTTTTCAAAAGGAAGTTAGGGACTGCCCTAGTGGCGCAGTGGTTAAGAATCTTCCTGCCAATGCAGGGGACACAGGTTCAGTCCCTGGTCCAGGAAGATCTCATGTGCCGCGGAGCAACTAAGCACATGCGCCACAGCTTCTGAGCCTGCGCTCTAGAGCCCATGAGCCACGACTACGGAAGCCCACGCGCCTAGAGCCCATGCTCTACAATAGGAGAAGCCACCGCAATGAGAAGCCTGTGCACCGCAACAAAAAGTAGCCACCGCTGGCTACAGCTAGAGAAAGCCCGCGCACAGCAATGAAGACCCAGCACAGCCAAAAATAAATAAATTTATTTTTTTTAAAAAGGGAAGTTAGGCAAAGAGGACACCACTATATGTTTCTAGAGATTCCTTGGAAATAAAAGAGGCTGCTGTAGGACTAGACAGAGGAAGAGAAGTTGGGAGTTGAAGAAGAGTTGTAAGTTGAAAGAATCAAGTCACAAGCACTCCTAAGAAGTGAATATGCAGAGGGTACTATAATCACAAACACATAAAAGCAAACATTACAGAAAAGAAAACCATCAGGAGATTTCAAAAAGAGGATGAAAAGCAAGAGGGCTAGAGCAGAGCTCTAGGAAGCAGTAATCAAGGGAACAGTGGGAAGTGGTACCTCCAAAATAAACATTCAAAAATAGACACTTAAAAAGTTAAGTCTTATTCTCAGATTGAATACTGAGGAACAATGGATAAATGACAATGTTGCCACTGGCACTGGCTTAATACTTCCTTTAATAAGAACAGTACAGTGGGGCAAACTGTACTCTTGGCTGACAAATAGGATTTTAAAGGTAATGGGGTCCTAAATGGAAGTTTAGAGTGATTCACTCATATACCAATAATTGTGGATCGGGGTATATTTTGGAAAGGCTATACTGTAGTTAACTTAACATTAAAGTTATTGATAAATGGAATTTTTTTTATTGAAGTATAGTTGATTAACAGTGTTGTGTTAGTTTCAGGTATATGATAAGTAGAATTTTACTAATCCTCCAAATATTTGAGATGACATAGAACAGGGTTAAAAAGAGAAAAAAAATTTTAAGTTAAACAAGTGAGATTCAAGATAAAAAGAAAAAAATTAGACCATCAAAGCTTGTGACTTACAGATTTTTGGACTTCCTTTAATAGGAAACTTCACCATCATTTCCTGGGGATTTGTGCAGATGAAAACAAATGGAGAATCAGATTCTTGACTCATGTCTGGATACTGTGAAATATAAAAATAAAAAGTTCACGCTAGTTGGAACAAATTTTGAATTTCAAAGAGATCAAAGGATGTCCCAGAATGCACCTCAACATTCTGATAATAGTACTCTCCATTACACAGTCAGGTAAAGAAGATTATGCTCAGTAAGCAAGAACAAACCTTCAACTTTCCCCAGGCTTTAGCACAGTATTCTTATACAGTCTTTTGCCCACCATCTGTGACTTCCTATAATGGAAACAACTTCTTTAAAAAAGATGCCTCAGGCTTCCCTGGTGGCGCAGTGGTTGAGGGTCTGCCTGCCGATGCGGGGGACACGGGTTCGTGCCCCGGTCCGGGAGGATCCCACGTGCCGCAGAGTGGCTGGGCCCGTGGGCCATGGCCGCTGAGCCTGTGCGTCCGGAGCCTGTGCTCCGCAATGGGAGAGGCCACAACACTGAGAGGCCCACGAACCGCAAAAAAAAAAAAAAAAAAGATGCCTGACATCTTCCCAGAGAATCAAAACTGACTAGTCTTTCAATATAAGTGACTGTGAGTTGGGAGATTCAGAGGTCTCCTTCAGGAACATCAGACACCCCCAGGTTCAGCTCAAGTGAAACAGTGGAAGATGTAAGAAAAATAGAACATTTGTGGAAATTCTGCCAGAAACAATCAACAGAGCCCTTCTCTCACTAAAGGGAAGGAAGATGATTCATTCTGAAAGGTATGAACATGCCAAAGTTGTTTTGCTGGATGCATTCTAGACTCACTTAGGGTGAAAAGGTAATGGTAGAGCAATTCTGAAAATAATTTAGAAGCCTCCTTTGGATCTCATATCACAAAACAAATCTGTGTGAATACTTAGGACTTTTACTCCTTCTGCAAAGAGAGACACAGAACGTAGAGTAAGACTATCTGGCCACACAATCACAACTTAAGGAACAACTGGGGTTGGCAGTAAGTGCTCTCTAGCAATGCCCAACTGACCAGGTACTTCATTATTTCCTATCTTGGGATGTCTTGTGTTTAGCATGTTGGATAAATACGACTCAAAAGCTGACTATGGCTGTGGGTCAGACTTCATCACCAGAGGAGCCTTTCTCCTAGTAATTAAAAAGTATGAAATTACTTTCCACTCTTATTCACCTGCTAAGATGTGTCCTCTAAGATATAAAAGGCTTTAAAGTAAAAATGGAGGCTTCAGTAAAATAAATAAGAAAACTCAAATGTCTCTGTAACTAGTGGAAGCATAAACAGGTAACTTCTTTACTGACTACTCTGTCCCAATGCTGTGAAGAAACAGAAGGGATTTACAGTGGCTTTTAGTCCTGCCCACATACCATGGGTTTCTGTGTGGGACAGGTGTGGCATGTACTTTGACAAAACATAGCTTAATATCAAGTATCAGCCACATTTATATTCACAGGCACTCACAATTATATTCACATGAACATTCAAAATGCTCATGGTAGAAAATAAAGACTAAAGATGGAAGGAGAAACTTTCTTCTTTCCTTATCCTTTGGATCTTTAGAATGCAAAGAAAAGCAGGGTCAGCTGTTACTGTTGAGGTGCTTTGAGACAAATAAAACCAGAGGCTGCCATCAATTTCTTTAAACCTAATTCTACAGAGGCCAGAGCAACAACAGTCACCATTCACATCTCTTCAATTTTCCTGCTCTCTCTTCTCTGTGTCTTAGAGAGTGTCAAGGCAGAGGACAAACCTGCCAGGACTTCACAGCTCTGCTTTTCCAAAACTACAAGCCATTTCACTCCTCTTTCTTCCACATCAATAAATGTTCTCTCTCTACTGGATTAATCCCATTAACAAACATACTTTCTATAATATCTGCCATAAAACAAAAACTCCCCAGATCCCACATTCTCCTCCAGCTGCTGCTCCATTTCTCAGATTCCTTTCAAAACAAAATTCATTAAAAGATTATCTATACACTCTGCCTCAAATTTGTCTCCTTCTATTTGTTCTTGAATTCACGATAGAGAGGCTTTCACTCCCATCACTCCACCAAAACTGTTCTTGTAAAGGTTATCGTTCACTTCCATGCTGCCAAATCAAACAATCAATTCTCAGTTCTCATCTTAATTGATTTATGTAGAACTTGACAGAATTCTTCTCTCCCTCCTTCTTGAACACATTCCTCACTTTGCTTCCAGGATACAATTCTTCTTCTGGTGTTGCTTCTTCACTGACTGCTCCTCATTTCCCCATCGTTTAAATGCTGGAGTACTTCAAGAGTCAAACCTCAGACCTCATCTCTCTCTACATTCACAACCTTGGCTATTTCCTTCAGTCTCAAAGTTAAAAAATAAGGTCCTGAATTTATAACTAGGAGAGGTGATGGATGTTAACTAAACTTACTGTGGTAATCATTTTGCAATATATAGATCACATATCAAATCTTCACGTTGTACAACCTTAAACTAATAAAATGTTATATGCAAGTATATCACAATAAAACAGGAAAACAGTAAGGTCCTGTAAATATAAATCAATACCACAATGAGATACCACTTTACTCTCACTAGGATGACTTATTATAAAACAAAACGAAAATAAAAAACAGGAAAAATAACAAGCATGGGTAAGGATGTGAAGAAACTAGAACCCTCATGCATTGCTGGTGTGAACGTAAAACGGTGCAGTTGCTGTGAAAAACAGTTCGGTGGTTCTTTTAAAAGTTAACCATAGAATGACCGTAGATCCAGCAATTCTACTTCTAGGTATATACTCAAAAGAACTGAAAATAGGGATTCAGATATTTGTACACCAATATTCACTGCAGCATTATTCACAGTAGCCAATGGTTTCCACAATCCAAATGTCTAACAATAGATAAATGGATAAACAAAATATGGCATATACATACAATGGAATATTATTAAGCCTTAAAAAGGAATGAAATTCTGATACATGCTACAACATGAATGAACCTAGAAAAATTATGCTAAGTGAAATAAACCATACACAAAAGGACAAATATTATATGAGTCTACTTATGTGAGATGCTTAGAACAGACAAATTCGGGAATTCCCTGGTGGTCCAGTGGTTAGGACTTGGTGCTTTCACTGCCAGGGCTGGTGTTCAATCCCTGGTTGGGGAACTAAGATCCCACAAGCAAAAAAAGATAAATTCATACAGAAAGAAAGTATAATAGAGGTTACTAGGGGCTGGGGGAAGGAGGAAAGAGGAGTTAGTATTCACTGGGTACAAAGTTTCTGTTTGAGATGATGAAAACTTCTGGAGATGGACGGTTGCACAACACTGTGAATGTACTTAATAGTTGCACAACACCGTGAATGTACTTAATACCCCTGAATTGTGCAGTTAAAAATAGTTTAAACGGTAAGTTTATGTTATGTATATTTACCACAATAAAAATAAAATAAAATGAAAAATCAAGGTCCTGGATTTCCTTTCCAAACCTGCCCCTCCCTTATTCATACCCCTTTAAAATAAATAGCTATTCCATCTTTCTAGCTGTTCAGGCCAAAAACCCCACAACCAACCCGCTGGGAAATCCTGTTAACTCTACCTTCGAAAGATACCCAATAACTCACCACTTCTTAAGACCTCCTTTGCTACTTCCCCGGTTCAGGCCATCACAATGTCTCCCTGGATTACCACAATAACTTCCTAACTGGTTTCTCTGTTTCTGCCCTTTAACCTCCCTCTTGCCTATTCTCAACACAGCAGGCTGAGCTATTTTTAAAAAATATATCAGATCATGTCACTCCCCTGTTTAAAACTCTCCAATGGCTTTTCATCAGTCAGAATAAAAGACTAAGTCCTCACTATGACCTACAGGTCCCTAGACAATCTGGCCCCCATTTCCTCTCTGATGCCTTCTCCTACTACTCTCCCCACTTTCCACTCCAGCCACACAGGCTTCCTTGTTCCTGCCTCTGGATGTTTGTACTTGCTTACCTCTCTTCCTGGGATGCTTTCCCTGCTAGGTATCTACATGGTTTCCTCTCTCTTTCTTCAGGACTTTGTTTATATGTCAACTTCGTAGTGGTGTTTATATGTCAACTTCTTAGTGGGTCTTCTGGCACTCTTAACCCCCATCTCCTACCTTATTTTTTTTTCTACAGCACTTACCATCATCTGATACTATGTAATTCACTTACTTAAATTTTTAAATTTGGACTTTCCTTACTAGGATAAAAGCTCCACAAAGGCAAGGATCTTTTGTCCGTTTTGTTTACTCCTCAGCACCTAGAATCATGCCTGGCACATAGTAGGCAATCAATAAATATTTGTTGGATGAAAGAACAAAAAAATTTACCAACTTGTGCTTTTAAGTTATCTTAACCATTCTAAATATGCACATGCTGGGAACTGGACACACTTAGGACTAAACTCTAGATAAAAGCAGGTGCTACTCTGTAACCTGTTATCCCTCAAGCTAAATCAGAACTTTTGTGTCTTGGCAAATGGCCAGTAAGGCCCTATGTTTAATGAAAACTACCCTGATGTATATTAACAGAGTAAGAAAATGTCAAATAATGGGGAAAATGATGGATAAATGAAATTATAGAACAAGAGGTTCCTTGGACCCATTCATGCCTTACAATAAAGATAAAAACTAAAATCAACTTTCCCAGCTGAATCTAAATCCAAGTTTCATGTGAATATTCCTTTTCCCAAGGTCTATCACTAAATTTCAGGGGGCTTACAAGAAACAGAGCTGAAGTGCAAAGAGGCCTACAGGAATAAAGAAAAGTAAGGGCTTCCCTGGTGGCGCAGTGGTTGGGAGTTCGCCTGCCGATGCAGGGGACGCGGGTTCGTGCCCCGGTCCGGGAGGATCCCACATGCCGCGGAGCGGCTGGGTCCGTGAGCCATGGCTGCTGGGCCTGCGTGTCCGGAGCCTGTGCTCCGCAATGGGAGAGGCCACAGCAGTGAGAGCCCCGGATACCAAAAAAAAAAAAAAAAAAAAGAAAAGAAAAGTAAGAAAAAAAAAAGAAAAGTAAGGCCTATGTGTTGGGAGAAGGGATTCTTTTTC